CGGGCCCTCTGACCACCACCAGTAGGCAATGGGTGAAGTGTCTTGCCCAAGGACACAATGACCGAGACTGACAGTGCTGCAGGTAGCTCCACATGTTTGATTTGGCAGGTTTTTCATACACCACATGCCATTCTTGATGCAACCCTAAATGGATTTGTGTCTCTTTCCAGGACTGAACTGGGCTGTCCACTTGTGCAATCATGACACCAACATAAATCTAGCTTTTTACTATTTACTCATAAAACACATTGTTTCTCATATTTGACACTTAAGTGCAAAGAACAATAGCAGACATCAGCTGAAATGTCATTCATCTTACCAAAGAGAGAAAGGACACCACATAGCACCCACACCAGCAGAGATAACCCCACGCTGCCACTGTTCATCAGGACTCCTTTCGGTGCAATGAAAATCCCACTGCCCACCACAGTCCCAATGATGAAGGACACGGCAGGCAGCAGTCCGATCTGCCTCCGAAGGCACACCACTTCATCATCTCTCTTATCCGTCTCGTTATTTCCCCTTTTCTTTATCCTGGTCCCCTCCATTTCTCTCTGTGGCTGTAGGTCACAGGGTGAATGTGCTGGACACTGTGGCAGGAAGAAACAGCACAGGCTATAACAACACCCCCACCCCCCAATCCTGTCTGTTTTTTCACCACTCATTGGCTCTTACCCCACCCGCCCAGGCTGAGCTGGGAACAAAGCCAGCAGTCTTCCAAACTTAAGCAACAATTAACACTGTACACTGTGGATGTGCGGATGGATGTGTGTACAGCTTGGAAGAGGCCCTGTGGGTTCAGACGGAGACAGGTCAGGGTGCTGTGGAGGCAGCTGCGTAGACTGCAGGAGGGCTACTTTCAACAGAATCTACACAGACTAAAATCTGTCCTTTCAAGCTATTTTACACAGTGTACATAAACGTTTTAAGCAAAAACTAAAAATGATATGAGACAACAGAAAAACAAAAAAATGACAGAGGCCACTTTATTAATATTCCTTACTTTCACTTGAGTGGCCACTGCATGGATGTCAGCTTCACTTTAGCAGCAGGAGCTCTGCTTGTTAACATTCCTCTACACACAGCACACATCAAGTTCTTTCTGTCAAGATTCATGACGAGTGAATGACTGCATCTGCACTCAGAACTCCCCTCACTCAGATAATGCAAACATGGATGCATTCAAAATGCAGTCAGACTGAGAAACATTTCTAGTATATCATTTGTAAAATGTTCAGCATAATCAAAACTTTTTTTCAAATAACAATTTATGTGTAAAAGTTGTCCATGCACTAATGTATAGTTCTTTATTAATATGTCTGAACACTGTAAGGAAATCAATTTTTACAGTATAACTATTTTTTCTTTGGTGATACTAAGACTCATGGGAATGATTTCTCCTCCACTCAATTCAATTACTTAAAAGGTTTGATTGCTATAGTCAATTATTTTTGCATTTTTACATTTTTATGAGAATGTGTTATGGTTTCCAGTGACTGTGTGACCAATAACAGTGGGAAGGTGTAGTTAGAATAGGGCATGATTGTTAACACTTGATTCTTGTCATAGTTCATAAAAGACAAGAATTCAGGTTACATAAGACATGCTATTCATTTATATTTTACAGCAATTAACCATTTATTGAGATTACAGTAGGAACACCAAAATAATAGCTGCTCAGTTTTAACCAAATAGCTCATAGGATTATACTTTGGAGCTTAAATTTTACTCAGTACAGAATAGCATTACTTTTTGCTGTAAGCAAGCTGTCAGCATCTTACTGTATACATTTCTTTGATTTTAAAGTGTCAACCCCTTAAAAAGAACAATGTTTATACAAGTTTTAATAAATGGTTATGGTAGAGACTGAATCAAATGTATATTTAGATATTTAAATAATGCTGTTAAACCTCAGCGTGCATACAGTCCGTTTGTGTTCGATTATGCCTGTTACTACTTTGTGTTTCTCCATCTTTGGCCAGCAGATGGAACTCATGTCTCTTTCTTGGTAAATGTTACCTCACAGATGAACGTGCTCTTATTTTCCTCTAGAAGATGGCAATCACATCTTACCTGGCTTTGAATTTTACAGGCTGCTAACCTTGATTCTGTGTTTATCTCAACTGTGTCTTCTGCAGTTGAATGCGTACATAATTGTCTCCAAGGTAAAAAAAAAAAAAAAAAACCCCAAGACATCTCGAGCATCACAGCGTGAAATTCCCAGGGTGGGTCCAATTTTAGTCCTTCTCTCTGCAGGTAAACCCATCCCAGGAGACAAGGGCTTATCTTCCCTGCAGTTTTCCACCTGACCTGCTAAGATCCCTGCTTTGTCAACTGGAGGCCAAACAAGCTTCAACTGCTCACTCCCAACTGTTTCTCCCATAGGCTCGTCTCACATGGAGCAGAATACAACACATCTTAATATTTCTCAGGAGCCATTCACACAAGGGACCATCTGGCTTTTCCATTTAGTGAATCAATAGAGGTGCTTCTGTTTCTAAAACATCGGATATGTATCGGATTCAGTACCACATACGAAAGTGACCCAGATCGGATGTGAAAATATCGAATTTGTGCCGTTCACACTGTCATACCATGATCGTATATGGGTCGCATAGGGTCAAAAAAATCGGATTTGATGCGCTTTCGCCTGCAGTGTGAACGTAGCCTTAGTGTTAGGCCTAATGTAATAGGCTAGTCAGTAATTCTTTTCTGATTGCTGGCACAATTGCTCTAAAGCCATGAAGCTAGTTTGATTGCAAGTGATGGTTTTAAGATTTGTATACGATTCATTTGTTTCTCACCTCTCCTCCTGACTGCAGCTAGCCTCCGCGCAGATTAAACGTATGAACTGAAAAACCAGTCCAGGTGTTTTTGGATCTCTTTTAGGGAGAAATTCCAGGAAGGAAACATTCCAAGTGTGGTATGAAGTAGGGGAAATGTTGTTTGATATTGATGGATGTGTTGATTGCAAAAAGTTAAAGAGCACAGACATTGCTGAATATATTTATGCTGCTGCTGACTATATAGTTAAAAGTTGCAGCAGCTCTTGAAGACTCTTGTGTGTCTGATGATGATTTTAGCAGATCGCAGTGACTTTATTGCCGGGAGCCCTAGCTAAAGAGGGTTTAGCCCAGGTGTTTATTTATTAGTTTGATTTAGTTTAGGATTATACACTTTAAGTTGGACATATACATTATTTTTCCTTCTTTCTCGAGAAATTATCTTTTTGTTCTGGTTTTTCTTTAATTGGGCCAGCCAATCTGTGCTGTAAATATGGCACACTAATCCACTGTTGTAAAAAGAAAGACTGGACTGTTGATCTGTTGAACAGTTTATTTCTGCCTCCACCACTACGCTCATGGAAGCATCATCGTTGGTACCCAGCTGAGGTTTTTGCATGCACAGAGCATGGAGACCCCAATTATAAAATGTATAATCGGGTAAACCCTGAGTGTTCCTGTCCTGGGAATTAATTAACCTTCACACAGAAATGCACAAATGCACCACCACACATATGCGTACTGTACATGAAAACATAAACATAATGCTTAAGGGATTTCAGTGATATGGAAAAAGCCAGATATAGAGGCTCCCGCACACATATATGCACACATCACGTGTTGTTATTACGGGTTTGGGTGTGAACAGTGTGAACAAGCTGTTTAACTTTGTGAAGAAAACTTAGCTGTCTGAAGCTTATTTACAGTAAATTGATTATATTCAGTACAATGACTGGTGTTAATGTACTCTGCAGAGTATGAAAAGTAATATTGCATGAACAAGACTGAATTGTGTATTTTAGACCCTTTCTAAGAGGTAAGGAAAGCAGAGAAAACATGTTTTGTATTTTGATCTGATTTTGGTTTGGGTCAGCTCCACAAGAGAAAACAATTTCAAGGCCAATTTCTTTTTTACTCTTGAGCATTTCATTGCATCACACCAAATTCAGCATATAGATTTATGTACTTGGAAGTGCAGATTTTGGAAGCGAGTACTAGCCCATCCCACAATATTGTTGGTGCCTTTAGGAAACTGATTTAGTTATTCACACTGAGAAAACTTAATCAAAAATAGCAGTGATGGTTGTTTGCTAAAAATGGGTAATTTAAGCTAGTTGCGAGGTGGCTGCCAGGCAATGTCATGACATTATATTATATCATGCCTACTTCAACTCCTGTGGATATAATTAAAAGTTACTGTAAAAAATTAAAATAGCACAGGTATCACAGGTGCACAATGCTAAAAATGGGTCATTTTAGCATGTTGCTAGTTGGCTGCTTGGCAATGTCATGGTCTCATGATATCTGCTATAGATACAAACGCTCAGGGGCCTAAGATGTACCTGTGTGGCAAGTTGGTTGCTTGTCTCCTGACAGACACACAGACAGAGATTTTATGCATTGTAAGATAAAACTCCATATTTTCTTCTCTCTCAGTGAGATATATGTTCAAAGTTCTTGATGATAATACTCAAACTTTAACTGCTCATGAAGCATTATTGTTCTTTTTTTAGGCATTACACTGTGTCTTTAGCTTTTATATGAATTAATTTGAGACCTTGTTGGCTGCAGTTTCTCATAATGAACAGGAGCAAGGACTAAAGAGCAGGACTCAGATCATCTATTGCAAAACAGCAAAGCGCCCAGGGCTCAGCAAAGGCAGGAATAACATACTAATGTAAATCAGGTCCTACTGCAGCTGGTCAGGGATTTCTGCAGGAGAGGAAAACATGGATTGATTAAGGTTCAGACGAGTATGACCAATTGCTCTTGATAGTTTGATATTAGTTAGATAGTTTCCATTCAGTTCTTACTTGGTTCTCTTTTGCAGTTGAAGGAGGGTGAGTATGCAGATGGCCAAGGGAGTCCTAAAAAAAGATGAAGCAGCAGCCTGACAGGTGTGCAAAAAAGGTTACCGGCTTGAGTGAAGC